CGGGATCCCGACCTTCGCCCGTCGCCACCGCGGAGGCTCACCTCGGGGGGAGGCGGGCGCGAAGGACGGGGACATTTATTTTCCGGGAATGAATATATAATAAGAATCAACATACCGGACCAAAGGACACGGGATCCGCGGGGCACCGCACGTGAAGCATCATGCAATCAACGGAACTGTGCACATGCTTACTAAAGCTATGATTATACGGGGGAGGGGGGGTCTTCCCAAGACAGATGGGGGAAGAAGGACGAAGGAGGCACGAGGAAGGGTGAGGAGGGGAGATAGGACGGGATGCCGTCGCTTCCGACATTTGGGGCTCAAGAGGAACATGTATCGGCCTGCGTAAATAGGATTTCGAATTGCGTCTCTCCCACTAGGACCATGCACTCTTCCGCAAATGTCTGGGGATAATGAAACAGACGCGTGATGTATGGTGAGTGTGTTCTCCCACCACCGCCCCTGCGTGCAAATGCGAGAAGGGTGCCGATTCCGTCAGTGGTATGATTCCGAACTGCGTCTCTCCCACCATTACCATGCACTCTTTCGCAAATGTCTGGAAATAGTAAAACATACGCATGTTGTATTGTGAGGGTGTTATGTCACCACCGCCCCTGCGTGCAATTGCGAGAAGAGTGCCGAATCCTGCAGTGGGAATTCGAACTGCGTCTGTCCCAGGAACACCATGCACTCTTTCGCAAATGTCCGGGGATATTGAAACAGACGCATGATGTATGGTAAGTGTGTTTCGTCACCGCCGCCCCTGCGTGCAACTGCGACAAGGGTGCCGGATCCTCCAAACGGATTCCGAACTGCGTTTCTCCCAATAACACCATGCATTCTTCCGCAAATGTATGGAGATTGTGAAACGGACGCGTGATGTGTGGTGACTGTGTTCTGCCACCGCCGCCCCTGCGTGCAAGTGCGAGAAGAGTGCCGAATCCTTCAGTGGGATGTCGAACTGCGTCGTTCCCACTAAGACCATGCACTTTTCTGCCAATGTGTGCGAATAGTGAAACAGACGCATGATGTATGGCGACTGTGTTCTGTCACCGCCGCCCCTACGAGCAAGTGGGAGAGGGGTGCCAAATCCTCCAGTGGGATTTCGAACTGCGTCTCTCCCACTACCACCATGCACTCTTTCGCAAATGTATGGAGATTGTGAAACAGACGCGTGATGTATGGTGAGTGTGTTCTGCCACCACCGCCCCTGCGCGAAGTGCGAGAAGGGTGCCGAATCCCTCAGTCGGACTTCGAACTGCGTCTCTCCCACTACCACCATGTACTCTTTCGCAAACGTCGGGGAAGAATGAAACAGACACATGATAAATCCGCCGACCCCTTGGGGATCATCGGCGTGTGAGATGCTTCCCCCTCCCCAAACCCCTCCCCCGGGAGCCCGGTCCGGTCGATTTGGAGGGGGGGGGGGGTCCGGCGCGAGCGCAGCACGGCCGGGACGAGCGGTTCACGGGGCTTTTCCGGGCCCAAGAGGGCCTCAAGACGGGCCAAGAAGCCCCCAAGAGGCCTCCAAGACGGCCCACGAAGGCCCCGAGACGCCAAACGACCGCTCCAAGACGCCCAAGATGGCCCCAAGACGGGCCAAGAGGTCTCCAAGACGGCCCCCGAGGTCCCAAACAAGCCTCCCAAGAGGACCCCAAGAGTCTAAAATTGTTGATTTTCCATAGTGTTTTTCTATTTTTTTTGCTTTTCCGCCTTTTCGGCGTCCCGACGCTCCAAGACGGCCAAAGAGGCCCCCAAGAAAGCCTCAAGATGGCCCAAGAGGCCCCCAAGACGGCCTCCAGACGGCCCAAGACGGCCCCAACACGGCCCAAGAGGTCCCCAAGACGGCCCAAGAGGGCTCCAAGACGGCACCAAGAGGGGCCCAAGAGGGCGACCAAACATGTTGAAACTCTAGCTTTCTGCCCCCAGGAGCCCCAGGGGGCCCCAAGAGTGCCCCAAGAGGCCCCCAGAGGCCCTCACGAGGCCGCCCAGACGCCCCAAGGAACCCCCAAGAAGCACCCCAGAGGCTCCGAACCGGCCCCCAAGTGGCTCCAAAACTCGCTTTTCACCCCTTCGCAGCTTCTACTACCCCCAGATTGGCATAAACAAGGGGTCGGCGGTGTGGCGTAAGCCTAAGAATCATGAGTGTGTTCTGTCACCGCCGCCCCTGCGTGCAAGTGCGAGAAGGGTGCCGAATCCTTCATCCCCAAGCCGATTAAACTAAAATGTGGGAACACCGATAGATCCAATTAGACCATTTGTTTTTCGGGTGTGCGGCAGTGTCGTGGAACCAATTTGTTTTGCGCGGATCCTATTTCCCGTGTTTGAAAACCAATAGAACCATTGATTTTCCGGGAATACATACAAAATAATAATTAGCATCCCGGACCCAAAAGAAATGGCATACGCGGGGCACCGCACGTGAAGCATCATGCCATCCACAGTACTGTGGATCTGCTGACCAAAGCTATGATTATACGGGGGAGGGGGGGTCTTCCCTGGACAGAGGGAGGAAAAGAGGAGGGAGGAGGCACGAGGAGGAAGGAGGAGAGGAGAAGGAATGGGACGCCGTCGCTTCCGACACTTTGGGGCCCAAGAGGAAAATCACTCGGCCTGCGTAAGTGGGATTTCGAACTGCGTCTCCCCCACTCTGACACCATGCTCTTTTTCGAAACTGCCTGGGGATGATGAAACACACGCCTGATGTATGGTGAGTGTGCTCTGTCACCGCCGCCCCTGCGCGCAAGTGCGGGAAAAGGTGCCGAGTCCTTGAGCGGGATTTCGAACTGCATCTCTCCCACTAACACGACGCACTCATTCGCAAACGTCTGGGGTGAATGAAACACACGCATGATGCATGGTTAAGTGTGTTCTGTCGCCGCCGCCCCTGCGTGCAAGTGCGAAAAAGGTGCCGGATCCTTACATGGGATTTCGAACTGCGTCTCCTCCAATAACACCCTACACTCTATCGCATATGTTTGGGGGCAATGACAGAGAGGCATGATGTATGGTAATGTGTAGGGTGCCGAATCCTCCGACTCCTTACATGGGATTTCGAACTGCGTCCCAACCACTCTAACACCATGCACTTGTTCGTCAGTGTCTGGGGATAATGAAACAGACGCATGATGCATGGTGAGTGTGTTCTGTCACCGCCGCTCCTGCGCGCATGTGCGAAAGGCATGCCGCACCCTTCATTCCCACGCCGAATGTTTGTTCCTCTTGGACTAAAAACAGGAAAACACCGATGGATCCAATTGGACCCAAATTCTCGGGTGTGCATCAGCTTCGTGGATCCTATTTTTGTTTTTGCGCGGAACAAATTTCCCGTGTGTGGAAAACCAATGGATGCATTCATACTCCGGGAACAAATCTGCAATAATAAATAGCATCCCGGACCAGGGGAAATTGGATCCGCGGGGCACCACACGTTGAAGCGTCATGCCATCCACGGAACTGTGGATCTGCTGACCACAGCTATGATTGAACGGAGAGGGGGGGGTCTTCCCAGGACATAGGGGGTGAAAGAGGAGGGAGGAGGCACGAGGAGGGGGGAGAAGGAAGAAGGGACGGGATTCCGTCGCTTGCGACATTTGGAGCTTAACAAAAAATCGCTCAGCCTGCGCAAGTGGGATTTCGAACTGCTTCTCCCCAACTCTAACACCATACACTCTTTCGCAAATATCTGGAGATAGTGAAACAGACGCAATATGTATGGTGAGTGTGCTCTGTCACCGCCGCCCCTGCGCTTTAAGTGCGGGAAAAGGTACCGAATCCTTGAGCGGGATGTCGAACTGCGTCTCTCCCACTCACACACTGAAACAAACGCACGATGTATGGTGGGTGTGTTCTGTCACCGTCGCCCTTGTGTGCAAGTGCGATAAGGGTGCCGAATCCTTCACCCCCAGGCCGAAAATGCTGTCCTCGTGGACTAAGAACATGGGGACACCGATAGATCCAATTAGACCCTTTGTTCACTCGGTGTGCGACAATGTCGTGGATCAAATTTCTGTGCTGCGAAGATCCAAATTTCCAATGCATGTATTTTCCAAGAGTAAATATATACGAGTAACTAGCATCCCAGACCCAGGTGACATGGGATCCGCGGGGCGCCGCACGTGAAGCATCGTGCCAGCCACGGAATTGTGAACCGGCTGACCAAAGCTATGGTTATAAAGGGGGAGGGAGGGCCTTCCCAGGACCGAGGGGGAAGGAGGAGGGCGGAGGCACGAGAAGGGGGGAGGAAGGGAGAAAGGACAGGATGCCGTCGCTTCCGACACCTGGGGCTCAAGAGGAAAATCACTCGGCCTGCGTACGTGGGATGCCGACTTGCATCCCTCCAGCTAGCACCATGCAGTCTTTCGCAAGTGTGTGGGGATAACGAAACAGACGCGCGATGTATGGTGAGTGTGCCCTGCCACCGCCGCCCATGCGTGCAAGTGCGAAAAGGTGCCGAATCCTTGAATGGGATTTCGAACTGCGTCTCTCCCAGTAACACCACGCACGCGTTCGCAAATGTCGGGGGGTAATGAAACAGACGCATGATGTATGGCGAATGTGTGTTATACCACCGCCGCCCTTGCGAGACAGGTGCCGAATGCTTAAATGGGATTTCGAACTGTGCCTCTCCCACTAACACCATGCACTCATTCGCAAGCGTCTGGGGATCATGAAACAGACTCGCGATGCATGGTGAGTGTGTGCTGCCACTTCCGCCCCTGCGCGCAAGTGCGAACAGGGTGCCGAATCCAGCAGTGGAAATTCGAACTACGTATCTCCCACTAACACCATGCACGCTTTCGCAAATGGTTGGGGGTGGTAAAACAGACGCATGATGTATGGTGAATGCGCCGTCTGCCACCGCCGCCCCTGCGCGCAAGTGCGACAAAGGGGCTGAATCCTGCAGTGGGAGTTCAAGCTGCGTCTGTCCCAGTAACGCCATGCAATCGTTTGCAAATGCCTGGGGATACTGAAACAGACGCAAGATGGATGGTGAATGTGTGCTATGCCACCGCCGCCCCTGCGTGCAAGTGCAAAGAAGGTGCCAAATCCTTACATGGAATTTCGAAGTGCGTCTCTCCCAATAATACCACACACTCGTTGGCAAATGTCTGGGGGGAATGAAACACACGCGTGATGGATGGTGAATGTGTGTTAAGCCACCGCCGTCCATGCATGCAAGTGCAAGAAAAGTGCCGAATCCTTAAATGGGATTCGGAACTGCATCCGTCCCACTAACACCATGCACTCGTTCGCAAATGTGTGGGGATAATGAAACAAAAGTGCGATGCATGGTGAGTGTGCTTTGCCACCGCCACCCCTGCGCGCAAGTGCGGCGAAGGTGCCGAATCCTGCAGTGGGAATTCGAACTGCGTCTGTCCCAGGAACACCACGCACTCGTTCGCAAATGTCTGGGGATAATGAAACAGACGCAACATGTATGTGAATGTGCCGTCTGCCACCGCCGCCCCTGCGTGCAAGTGCGAGTAGGGAGCCGAACCCCCAGGTGGGATTTCGAGCTGCGTCTGTCCCAGCAACACCATGCATTATTCTGCAAATGTCTGGGGGTAGTGAAACAGACGCGTGATGTACGGTGAGTGTGTACTGTCACCGCCGCCCCTGCGTGCAAGTGCGAGAAGGGTGCCGAATCTTTCAGTGGGATTGCGAACTGCGTCTCTCCCAGTAACACCACGCACTCGTTCGCAAATGTCGGGGGGTAATGAAACAGACGCATGATGTATGGCGAATGTGCTCTGTCACCGCAGCCCCTGCGTGCAAGTGCGAGAAAGGTGCCGAATCCTTCATCCCCAGGCCAAATTGTTGTTCGGTTTGGGCTAAAAATAAGAAAACACCGATGGATCAAACTGGACATGTTTTCCGGCGTGCGACAACGTCGTGGAACGTATTTCTGTTTTGCGCGGGTTCTATCTCCCGCCTGTGACTACACCAATCGAGCCGTTTATTGTCCGGAATAAAATATATAATAATTAACATCCCAGACCCTGGGAAAATGGGATCCGCGGGGCGCCGCACGTGGGGCATCGTGCCATCCACGGAATTGTGGATATGCTGACCAATGCTATAATTGCACGGGGGGGAAAGGGGGCCTTCCCACGACAGAGGGGGGAAGGAGGAGGGAGGAGGCACGAGGAGGGAGGAGAAGGGGAGAAGGGACGGGATGCCGTCGCGTCCGACATCTGGCGATGATGAGGAAATATTTCAGTGTGCGTAAGTGGGATTTCGAACTGCGGCTCTCCCACTAACAGCATGCACTCTTTCAAACACGTCTGTGGGTAATGAAACAGACGTGTGATGCATGGTGAGTGCGTTCTGCCATGCGACAAGGGTGCCGATTCCTTCACTGGGATTTCGAACTGCGTCTCCACCACTAACACCATGCATTTGTTTCGCAAATGTCTGTGCACAATGAAACAGACGCATGATGTATGATGAGTGTGTTCCGTCACCGCAGCCCCTGCGTGCAAGTGCGCGAAGGGTGCCGTATCCTTCGGTGCGATGTCAACCTGTCTCCCACTAACACCAGGCAATATTTCGTAAATGGCTGGGGCTAATGAAACAGAAGCGTGATGTATGTTGAGTGTGCTCTGCCACCGCCGCCCCTGCGTGCAAGTGCGAGAAGGGCCCAAGCCGATAGTTTTCTCCTCTGGGGCAGATAATGAAAACACCGATGGCTCAGATTGGACCATTTTTTCGGGTGTGCGACAATGTCGTGGATCCTATTTCTGTACTGCGCGGATCCAATTCACAGCGTGTGAAACAAATGCATCCATTTATTTTCCGGAATTACATTCAACAAATGCCAACTAAATCCCGGACCCAAGGGAAATGGTATCCGCGGGGCGCCGCACGTGGGGCATCATGCCATCCACGGAACTGTGGATCTGCTGACCACAGCTATGATTTGACGGGTGAGGGGGGGTCTTCCCAGGACAAGGGGGGGAAGGAGGAGGGAGGAGGCACGACGAGGCGGGAGGAGGAAGAAAACCTTTCGGCCGCAAGCGGGACTGCGAGTTGCGTCTCTCCCACTAACACCATGCACTCTTTCGCAAATGTCTGGGGATAATGAAACAGGCGCGTGATGTATGGTAAATGTGTTCTGCCACCACTGCCCGCGCATGCAAGTGCGAGAAGGGTGCCGAATCCTGAAGTGGGATTTCGAAATACGTCTTGACCACTGACATCATGCACTCTTTCACACATGTCTGGGGATAATAAAACAAACGCGTGATGTACGGTGACTGTGTTCCGCCACCGCCGCCCCTGCGTGCAAGTGCGGCAAGGGTGCCGAATCCTTCTGTGCAATGTCAAACTGCGTCTCTCCCACTAACACCATGCACTCTTTCGCAAATGTCTGGGGATAATGAAACAGACGCGCGATGCATGGTGACAGTGTTTTGTCACCGCAGCCTCTGCGTGCAAGTGCGAGAAAAGGTGCCGGATTCGTCAGTGGGACTTCGAACTGCGTCTGTCCCACTAACACCATGCATTATTTCGCAAATATCAAGGGATAGTGAAATAGACGCGGGATGTATGGTAAGTGTGTTCTGCCACCGCCGCTCCTGCGTGCAAGTGCGACAAAGGCGCCCGATACTCCAGTGAGATTTCGAACTGCGCCCCTCCCCTACTCTCGCAAACGTCTGGGGATAATGAAACAGACGCACGGTTTATGGTGAATGTGTTCTGTCACTGCCGCCCCTGCGTGCAAGTGCGAGAAAGGTACCGAATCTTTCATCCCCAGGCCGAAACTCGTTCCCGCTTGAACTCAAAATATGCGAACACCGATGGATCCAATTGGACCCATTTTTCGGGTGCGCGACTGTGTCGTGGATCATATTTGTCTTACGCGGATCCAATTTCCCGGGTGTGACAACAAAAATGAATATATTTAGTTCCCATGAACAAATATACAATAGTTAACATCCTAGACCCAAGGGAAATAGGATCCGAGGGGCACCGCACGTGAAGCATCTTGCCACCCACGGAACTGTGGATATGCTGACCAAGGCTATGAACGGGGGGAGGGGGGTCTTCACAGGACAGAGGGGGAAGGAGGAGGGAGGATGCACGAGGAGGGGGGAGGAGGGGAGAAGGGGCGGGATGCAGTTGCTTCCGAGATCTGGGGTTCAAGAGGATAATCTTTCGGCCTGCGCAAGTGAGATTTCGAACTGCAAATGTCGGGGGGTAATGAAACAAACACGTGATGTATGGTATGGCAACTGTGTTCTGCCACCGCCGCCCGTGCGTGCAAGTGTGGCAAGGGTGCCGAAGCCTTCAGGTGGGATTTCGAACTGCATCTCACCCGCTAACACCATGCACTATGCTCGCAAATGTCTGGGGATAATGAATCAGACGCATGTTGTTATGGTGAATGTGTTCTCTCACCGCCGCCCCTGCGGGCAAGTGCGAGAAGGGTGCCGAATCATTCATCCCCATGCCGAGAGTTTGTTCCTCTTGAAATCATAATACGAGAACACCGATTGATCCAATTCGACCTTGAAATCATGATACGAGAACATCGATTGATCCAACTCGACCTTTTCTTTCGGGTGCGCGACAGCGTCGTGGATCCTATCTCTGTCTTGTGCGGATCCAATTTCGCGTGTGTGAAACAGAAACATGGGCCCATCAATTTTCCAGGAATAAAAATTTAATGTTGCCGACCCGGCGTGTGAACTACAAGGAGCCTCAGTAAGAGCTTCAGCTCTGAGCCTGAGCAAGAGCTTCAGCTCTGCTGGGGGGGGTTCGCCGGGGTGGCTCTGCCGGGGAAAGGGGGGAGAGGGGGGGGTGGTCCTCCATCTGTCGTTTAATGGTTCGCGCATCCCCAGAATATTCGGGGGGTCCGGGAAAGCGGGGGGGGGGGGGGCGGTCCCCCATCTGGCGTTTCTTAATGATTTGCGCATCCCCTAGATGTTTGGGAGGGGGCGACAGTGACCCCCCCCCAGATCTAGCAGCTACCGCCCCCAGGACACTCCCTCAGAACCCTCCCTGGACTCCCCTCGGGACCTCTCCAGGCCCCCCCCCGGCGGGAACGAGGGGCCACGAGGACGGGGGAGGAAAAGAGAGGGGAGGGGATGCCATCGCTTCCGACATTTGGGGCTCAAGAGAACAATATATCGGCCTGCGTAAGTGGGATTTCGAACTGCGTCTCTCCCACTAACACCATGCATTATTTCGCAAATGTCTGGGGATAATGAAACAGACGCGTGATGTATGGTGACTGTGCTCGGCCACCGCCGCCCCTGCGTGCAAGTGCGATAAGGGTGCCAAATCCATCAGTGTGATTTCGAACTGCATCTCTCCCACAAACACCATACACTGTTTCGCAAATGCCTGGGGGTAACGACGCAGTACCGCCACCCCTGCGCGCAAGTGCGAAGAAGGGTGCCGAATCCTTCAGTGGGACGTCGAACAGCGTCTCTCCCACTAACAAAATGCACTCTTCCACCAACGTTTTGGGATAATGAAACAAACACGTGATGTATGGTGAATTTGTTTTGGCAGCGCCACCCCTGCGTGCAAATGCGACAAGCGTGCCAAATCCTTCACTGCGATTTCGAACTGCATCTCTCCCATAAACACCATGCACGGTTTCGCAAATATATGGGGATAATGAAACAGACGCAAGATGTGTGATGAGTGCGCTCTGTCACCGCCGCCCCTGCGTACAAGTGCGAGAAGGGTGCCAAACCCTTCAGTGGAATTTCGAAATGCGCCTCCCCCACCAACAACATGCACTCTTTCGCCCATTGATTTGATCATGAAACAGACGCGTGATGTATGGTGGGTGTGTTCTGCCACCGCCGCCCCTGCGTGCAAGTGCGAAAAGAGTGCCGAATCCTTCAGCGGGATTCCGAACTGCATCTCTACCACTAACACCATGCACTCGTTCGCAAATGTCAGGGGATTGTGAAACAGACCCATGATTTATGGTGAATGTGTTTTTGTCACCGCCGCCCCAGCGTGCAAATGCGAGAAGGGTGCCGAATCCTTCAGTGGGATTCCCAACTGCGTCTCTCCCACTAACACCGTGCACTTTTTCGCACATGTACGGGGATAATGAAACAGACACGAGATGTATGGTGACCGTGTTCTGCCACCGTCGCCCGTGCGTGCAAGTGCGCGAAGGGTGCCGAATCCTTCAAGGGATTTCGAACTGCGTTTCTCTTACTAGCACCGTGCACTTGTTCGCAAGCTTCTGAGGGTAATGACACAAACGCGTGATGTATGGTGATTGTGCTCTGCCACCGCCGCCCCTGCATGTAAGTGCAAGAAGGGCGCCAGATCCTTCAGTGGGATTCCGAACTGCGATTCTCTCACTGACACCATGCACTCTTTCGCAAATATCTGGGGGTACTTAAAAAATTAAAGACCGATGGATCCAATAGGACCC